CATTGATGTACATCTCTATACACACATTACATTCCACTGTAGCTGAACCAACGACAGGTCCTGTTGTATCAATTTAGCAAATTGTGGACTTAAGGGATATTAGCTTCCAGATATAGTTATTAATGTGTCCATGGATGTATCTACATGATAACCTACACTATATGAACACCTCTCCCCTCCCCGACCACCCCTCACACGCACATCCTATAATGACAAATTTGCGTTAGATTGATTATTTTGTCTCTAATGAATAAAATGTTTAAAATGTCGCATTAAATGAGTGATTTGCAACGGTAATACATTATTTGACCTAAAGTGAAAATAAATGTTGCGCGCGGATAAAAAGAAAACGAGAAATCAATTCCAACCATTCTTCATTTGACAAGTGATTTCAACAGAAGGAAACAATTGCACTCCAGAAACTTTACGACATAGTGAAATATGTTATCGTGACCATTTTCCTTCGATGCCCCCTAATAAAACGACATTCAACTTTGCACTCTAGAAGCGTAAAATCAGACTTTTATAACCTAATTGATAGTTTGGCGAGTTCCCATCTAATTGATTCACTCAGTTTACCAGATTTGCTGTTTTCTGTTTAGCCTTCTCTCATACTAAGCAATCTATGGTTTCACGAAATTATCGCTGAAACGAGTTGAGAGAACAATAAAACTGGAGAAAAGCAGAAAAAAGGTTAAATCTGTAGCTATTAGGTAATATTTGAGACGAAGATGTTTTTGCGCTGCCTGGTGAGATGGATAGTTGATCCAAAGTAGGTTTTCTTAACAGTACAAAAAATGCAAGTACATTTTTTTAAAGTATGGAATTAAGGCAATTAAGCCGAAAATGAGCTGGAATGGTTGATGATTGGTGGTTTACTCGCCGTGCTCCTCTTATCGTTGTCAATAGCATGTATCTGGGTATACAGACCCCTGAACCCAGGTAATTTTCGTTCAATTACAAAAATGGGGGTTTGGTAAAGTTGACAAGAACGCTGAGGCCTAGAGGAAAACGTTACCCCATGATTAAGGAAGGTTAGCCTATTTCCTGGTATCCTACTCCCGGTTTGGATTAAAGGGTAAGGGTTAGAGTTGATATATGAAATAGGAGATTGTAAAACATTAATATCTGTTTTGTGCATCGTCCCTTTAGGCAAAGAAAGACGGAGGTCAAAACACTTCAATTAAATTGTTTTTGAGAACAGAGGTCTATGATTATTATCACAGCGCAATCATTTGTGATCATTTGAAGCAGTCGTGATATGTTAAACCGGGTGTTTCGTGTGTTGTTAAAACGACTCGGTTGAAGAAAAGACATTCGTTATGACGACATTCTGTCCATACGAGGTTATTTTTTATGGTATTGTTAAACTGAATCGCTGTACAGGCGTATTCAGTGTTTCAGTATGCTTTGGGGTAGGTCAGTATTCAGAATGGTAGCTTGTCAGACAAATCATCCGGATTAGTTTACGATATTTATGGTGTCTTGTTTGTGGTCTCAGTGTATTACACTTCATGTACATATAAACCGAACACATATAGACAAACAAAACGACCAGTAATTAGATAATTTGTAATGGTAATTGGGACGAAGAACATCATCCACCCACATTCGATAGCTAAATTAACCATTCCTTGTGGGGATTCCTGGTTTGAAGAGATTCCCATCAATCTATGCTTTGGTTCGAGGCGTCTTAATGGATCGTGTGGTTTGATTCCGGGACATTGCTCATACTATCAATCATTGGTTTCTCTGGTCCAGAATAGATTTATTACGTCGCCTGTAAATATTTACAGGCGGACGTAATATAGCTTGAATATTGCTGGATTGCTGGATTCAAAACATACAAACAAACACAAACTTGATTATTGTTTTGGAAAACTTCTACAAAACGGTGTTTCAGAACTAATCTAATTCGTACTTCAGAAACATTAACAAAGTACATCAATGGCATCGTAACGCCGTCTTGATTTTATGTAATAGGTTACAAAAATGATGTTTTCCACTTAAAATCCGTTACTGGGGTGTTTTTTTAAAAAGAGAGAACATATAAAACGTTACCTGTACGAAACAAAAAAATGATAAATGAAAAAGTAATAGTTTTCAAACAGAGGCCTGCAGGAATGGATGGAAGATGATGTGTTTTTGTAAAATTGACTTTTTCCCCAGCACTCATCCAAATAGTTTTTCTAGAATACCAATTGACCAATTTTTAAGATCGATTTTTTCATACAACAACACAATATAAAACCCAACTGCCTTCGCAAATGTGAAGAAATTGTATACCTACTGCTCATATAAGTACATGTGTAAAAAACATTTCACCGACACAACATTACTAAGTCGAATACCAAGTTATATTTTACATGAAAGTGCGATATGTATCTTCAGGGGATGAAGAAGAAAAACAGGAAATTCATAATGAAATTATGATAATTTGCAAGGAAGGAAACAATTTGAAAAGAAATTTCCGCCATTTTTTCTTTCCTTTTGGGTAAATGTACGCAGAGAAATGAAGAAAATTTTCAAGCAAGGACACTTTGATAATAATTTGCTAGCGGTATATCACACTAATAGAATGGAGCGCTGCCTGACCGAGGCATAGCTAGTCTACCCTTCGAAGATGGCAAAGTAATTACGCGTAATCCTGTGGATTATAAAGATTCTATTATAATAAATAAACGTTTGGCTGTCGGGATCATAATGAGTCCGGTAATCCAACCCGTCATTAACACTACAATCCACCACTCTGCCTTGCGGGGCCTTTTGTTCGCTAAAACCAAGGGTTCAAAAACTTGCCTTTTCGAAGAAAGAATGGTAAAAAGGGGTGATAGGTTTGGAGTGGTTATGACAGATAATTTTGGCAAAAATCGATGAATATTAATTTCCCGAATGACTAGGCTAACATGTTTTCCGCTATATTCCACACACGATTTTAACGACTGGGATTATGGGATTATTTTCCATTAGTAGAGAAATATTGACACATATGCAGAAATTTCACGCGCGAACATCGGAATAACATTATTAGTTTGGAGTTTTCTTATAAGTGAATTAATATGAAATCGGATTCCACAGTTTCCGTTCATTTCCTCCATGCATCGCTGTTTCTTTCATGTCCGTTTCGGAATGGAGTTGCGATCATAATTGGAATAGCTGTGAAATAATTTTTAAAAGTTGTCCTGAAAAAGATGGCTGCATCATCGGCATTTCCATATTTTTCTATGTGTAATTTCTCAGTCGCTATTAACATGACTTGGAGATGGACAATTAATAAAGCAAGTTTCACATATATATGACATATACCTATAAAATTAAGAATACGTAATGACAATATTTTCCATTCCAAAATCAGAATCGCTTTTAACGTTTCACAGTGAGTCAGTAAGCTATGGCACCGCCGCTTCCAGCAATATTCCAGCAACATCATGGAGGTCATGATACACAGCATCAATGAAAGAATCAACTTTATGAATACGTATATTCGTACCCCTGCTAACGTACAATGCGTATTTATGTTGTGACTTTCAGTATGACATCAGTGTAGATGTGTTGAATACTGTAATTGTAACTGTGTATCCCGTCAGATACGATCTCCCCCGTGAATATCCGGGTTAGAAGGAGTCTTCAGCAACCCTTACTTGTCCAAAGAGACGACTAACGGGATCTGGGGGTACTTTCTGACTTTCTTGATGCATGTCACGATATCTCATGATGTCAATCCCCGGATTGTGTGGTCCGAACCCGATTATGTACAGACCGCCGATATCTCGATGGAATCTAGCTGAGTGCGGCGTTAAACAACAAACAAACAAACAATCAAATACGATCTGGAAATAAGGAGTCAGTATAACCAGGTAATGAACAGTCATTCACTATGATCACCTACTAAAAATGATAGTGGTTGCAACGTACATGTTGCAATGAGTTGTCTGTGTTGACGCAAAACCTTTTCCAGTCTATTACATCATTCATGTTAACATAAACATTGTTCCTTAACACGTTACGTAATACACGGGTATAAGGATGAATTTGTCTCTGTAAAAGAACATATAATTTATTTGTCAAATTACAGTATCAACAAACTTGATATGTAATGATCAATGCAGACATAAATTGGCCGTTCTCTAAATGGTCGAGAACTTTCGAGATTGTATTCTTAAACAATACCAACGTTATAATGTCTTACAACATGAAATTCATTATAAAACATTGAAACTCAACGCATTTCTACAACAGAATCTTCTGTCAATCTTTATTCATGATAATGAGGAGGTCACTGTGTAATAACCCAGTATTCAGACCTGTATGGTACGCTAATAACAATGGCTAAGTAATTATGATTGCACAAATATTAAGGATAATGGTTTCACTATCATATGTTTGTTGTTTGTTTGTTGTTTTACGCCGTACTCCTTATTTTCCAGCTCATGGCTTCCTGTAAAAAATCGAATGTGGCCAGACAAACCAGTGTTTGACATTATGACCAACGTCCCGTTTAGTATCTATAGAAACATTGTTCATCCAAGGCTAAAGAAACTACAGGTAACATATTCAACCCAAGGTTGAAGAAATGACAGGTGGAAAACGTCTCACGATCAAATGAACTGTATGCCATGATAAACGTTTCGTAAAACCTAAATGCATTTATGCAACCATGCCATGTATCATATTCCAATTACAAACATAAACGACTCTCTCACAAACCCTAGGTATGCACAACAATACAACACTTTTCATATTCATAAGAAATCGCTACCAAAAGCAGAGCCGTTTGTTCGATTCCGACTATATTATGAGCAAGTGTTTATGACAATTAAATCGTGATAATACCAGGTTATCGCGAAAATATGTGCGTATCCTGCCTCATTGGTTGCATCAATCACAAAAGCATGCAAAGGCTAAGTCAATTGCTCACCTGAAAAAAAACCCACGTGTACATATGGTACAAGTCAAAACAGGCTGTTGCGTCGGACATCATTTTTGTCACTGATGCATCAAATTTGGAAATGTCCTCCATATGTCTACCATAACACTTTTTGAAAACTTTACAGAAACCTTGAGTGTTTGCAACCTTGATCAAACAACTTCCGAGCAAGAGTCGTATGACGCTTTTAGAATCCTTGGTAGAAATAGCATGCTGGATTGTACCTCAAAAGTTTTGGAATGTACACACCAAAGGTTGGAGTTTCAGACATATGCTCCACATACAGGGAAAATTGACTACTGGAAAGTTGAAATCATGCCTCTTGACATACAGTTTTGTGGAGAGTGTTTTGTCACTCAGAATCCTAATGAATATTTTTTGAAAAACTGGCCTGAACCTCTGAAGATAGATTTGTAACTGTATCTATGTTCACCACGTTTTGTAACAAAAGCCCCATGGATCAAGGAATGAAGTTTGTCATGCTGGATAACGGTGTACAAAGTTGAAAAATCAAATGTTTTGACAGAACTGTCTTTCTTTTCTGAGATTATAAAAAGTCAGGCAACACTTCTGAGTTTTTGCGAACCCACATGGCATTAATTCCACGTGTCACATATACTTTCTGTGAATACAAATAATACATGGCGATCAGTATTTTCCATGCTATTGTTCCATACATCAAAATGCAAGATTTTTTATTTCGAAATCGTTGGAACGGCGTAAAACGAATGTCGTACTTTGTCCGCTCCCCCTCGCGCACGCACACACACACACACACACACACACACACACACACACACACACACACACACACACAGTGTCGTCGATGCCACTGCTGTAGTCGTTTAAACGTTGACACGCTGCACTGTCACATCATCACTGGCAATGGAATTTCAGTGTGCTCTTGTTCCCTACAAATGGAAATGCGACTTTTAAAAAGAAGGAAATGGTAATTTGGGGTTTTTCGAAGTGATTTAGGTTTCATCATACGAATGTGTGATTCTCTTGTTACGCAAATGGATGATGACTGTATATCTAATTGATAATCATTTACATATATCATGTACTACAATATACATGTTTAATTATAAAGAAGTAATAGTCAATATAGTTTCGCAATGTATACTTGTACACCCAGGTTTACTGTTATGAAAGTAACAAAGCAAACATTGCCCGAATTTGGATTGCGATCTATCCTTGTGTAAACAAATGCTAAACAAAATTAAAGATGTTATTGATTTTTGATAACGTCCTGGGAACACTTTGATTCCAAGAGTTCTCTCCTCTTTAGATCTCTCATTCTTACACGAGGCTTATGACAAACATAGCAAGATCGATAACTCGTGAAGGTTCAGTCAGTGGAAGGTATTTCACCGGAATAGACAGGGGTTGCTTCCCTTAGTCAATAACTGTGTTCTTCTATTGCAGTCACAGAGGGGAAGCTGTTACTGAGTCGGCAATACATTATGGAGGGGGGTAAACTCTGCCCCACGCTGACTCCCGCCAATGAAGAGTGAACTTATAGACAAGACTTTACCTTCACAGCTTTGAAGAAGTTTGGTTTTGCAATTAAGAAAAATACCTGTATGACAGCCAACCTTCTGCAGAATGTAAATAAAGGCGGCAAACACTTTCCATAAGGATAAGGAATCTCTGCTAAGGAATGACCATCGCTATGTAGAAAACACATTCATAAAAAAAACAATATGCATCGGCCATCCAAAACGCAGACTCTTTGTTTTGAACCTTTTGACAGATCTATACCATAAATGTATGTAATCATTCGTATCAGATTGTTTCCCTGTCATTGTGGAATATTAAGTGTTTAAACACCGGCCAATTTGTCTACACTATCACATACATCTCTAGTTCATTTAAGATACTCTTTATAATTGAATGTCTATTTACATTTTATTTTATCTATGATACCTCATTGCGCTGATCTCCAATTGTAATGTGTTCTCTCTGTGTTCTCTCGGAGTTGCGCTTCTCAAACACACACTGAAACAAGAGAAAATATATAATTAAACAAATACCGTAACAATTGTTCTATATATTGGTGGCAGACTGGTGCCAAAAGATAAACCATAGCAAGTTGATTTTACCTCTTTGTTCGATCGTTTTGAAAGCCTAACATGTTACAAGTTAAAAAGAATTCACGTAATTTCCAGTGGTATAAAGTTTTTACAGATTATATTTCTCTCGAATTCCGAAGACTTTTTTCTAAAAAAAACCCCAAACGTGTAAGATCAAATTTCCCCTGACGAAAGTTTCCAATTATATACATTTTCCCCCTAAATTTTTTTCTTTGATGAGATGAGGGTCCCTAGACATCATTTGGTTGTTTAGACGCCTGTAACGACGCTTGCATCCCTTCCTTTCTGGTAGAAATAAGGACTTTAACTATATGTTTTACTGCTTGTATAGGAGAAGCGTATAGTGTTTCATGACTATTGTTCCTCTTGATAGTATCACGAAGAAAAGGAGGGGGCGGTCACATCAAAAGACGTTGTTGTTATGGTAATTTGTGCGGACACATGATAGAGACATTTATTTTCCTGGCTTGTCAATGTTCATTTTAATGTCACCTCAAAAAAACTGGTTTGATTGATGGTCCACATAGGTCCCTCTGCTCTTTCTTCTTCTGCCGGAGTCTGATGAATATCTTGTCCTGTGATTTAAGGATGGGTCTACAAATAATGTGTATTTAATGTATACTTAACGTACAAGCTAGGTTTTCCCGTATCGCATATAAACTGGTATGTTGGATGGTGTGGCAGATTTCGTCATAATCTGTTCTACCTGTCGCATATTGGATTGCAATTGTTACCTTCTTCATGGACTTAGCGGGCGTCTTGGACTGTTCCACGGATGTGTCTGTAAGATTGGTTCTGTTTCATGATATGAAGTTTTGTTTTAATCTTGACATCAATGTTGTGTGAAAGATAATATCAATCTGAATTATGCAGGTTTCAAGACCATCAGCATCATATTCATTCTTTGGGTCTTCTTTTGGGTTTTGGTTTGAAGATTGGTTAATAATCAGTAATTACCGATAAGGATATCAATATACGTATGAAAAATATTGAAAAACATGTGATCGTTTTATTTGTTATTATTTATATTATTTACTAACGTCTTATTTCATCGACGTACTTGGTGAATACAATAAACACAATGTTTACCGGTACGTAATATATTGTTCTTGTCATCATCTTTGTACAATTGGTTAGCACTGATCGGAGAGTGATTTTGAAATGGACTATATGATGTTGTTGATTGTGCGCCGCTTTTTCTTTTGCACGTATTGTGCATTTGTTGTGAGCATCATTTAATTAAATAAAACCAGAACATCCGTTTGCTTGTAATTGTTTACTTATACATTTCGTGTATCTATTTAAAAAAACAACAACATGATGTTTTGCAGTTGTATGCCATTTAAATGGTGTGTAGTTGTTTTGCAAATAAAGTTAAACCATGGAATTTATCATACTGAGTTATTAAGTTTAAATTTGGCATTTTGTTTCATGTATAAGTCATTTACATTTTGTTTGCATGATGTATGGCTGATACATACACACATTTTTATTCTATACATATTCCATTTTCATTCAAGAGAAGTACGAATTATGGCACCGAGTTAACGTCAAAAGCACAGAGAAGGGCACCTCGGCGTATATACATTGTATATATTCGAGTACTGGTGCGAAACCAATATCAGGACTATTTCATTTGTAAAAATTGATGTAAGATCAAATTTGATGCAGTTTGTATATTAGTATATTATTGTCGAATACTGAAACCATTCCCACCCTGCTGGGCAATCAGTAAAAGCATTTAAATGAAGTGATGTTAATGTGTTTAAAGAAAAATGGACAATATCTTTTCAAATATAAGTACGGATTTTGTATTTTCGGTTGCTAGTCGGGGTTTTCACTTTGCATATCACTCACAATGTCAGTTCCATTCAATTCAAATACATCTTTAAGCAGCACTTTCGAAGTCAAAACATGTACGTTTGTAAAATTAGCAATTCAGATTTGTTTGACTTTCCTGATTCATGTTATGATATCGCAATAACATTATGCCATTTCATTGTATATTAGAATGAAATAGTATTAGGTTAAAGTTTTAATTACATGTCCGTCAATCATTTCTCTAAATTGTATTTATTATATATTGTACACCCAAATATGTCTTATGTAATGTACTATCTACCAATAAACATTGATATTCAAACATAATAGTATCCCGGATTATAAACAAAGGTTTTGTTTCAGCGAAAAGTGGCATACTTTCTATTTTGTGCTTTTCCAAAATGACAAATATCTACACAAATTACTTACTTAAACGTATTATTTGTAAAGTTAAAATAGCACACAATAACGATGACATAACTATTTCAAATAAAATCGTATTTGAAAATATATCAACGCAATTTTTTTATACGAAATATTTGATTTTAATTCATTTAATAACAAGGTTATTTTATATCCTTTACGTAATGCTTCAGAAATGATTTCCCCAATATGCCATAGTTGTGTCCTTCATTTACATACTACCGAGACACGATAATGTAATTAAACTGAACAAAAAGAAAAGGACAAAAGTCTATTTGAAATAATGGTTTAAAATTACAACATTATTATTGCATTTTAATACATACGAGGTTGAGATTCTCATCATATTAAGCTATCCGTCATTGCAAGTTATATTAATGGCTTTTATGGGGGGTTGAGGTCTGACCCGCGCATGTTGATCAAATCCTGGAATCATGATTGAAATTTATTGCTCTCACGAATAATGTTATTTCATGGAAATCGTATTAGACAGAAGTGGGGGCTATGCTCCAGGCTTCGGTCTTTCGCAATTGTTCCCACCAATACTCTGCCAGTAATACTTTCTTTCCAAAACGAGCTGTCTCAACACTAGCATATTTCGAAAATACATGTTGAAACACACACTATTTTCCCCCAAAAAACAGTCTCATGAACACTCTCATATTTCTATAACAAAAACAGCACCTGCGCACATTCTCAGTAGAAAAATAAATTCTATCATTTACCCCCAAAAATGGATTTCTAGACGACTTATTTCCCCAGTGTATGTGCAAAAGAGAAACATGTCATGCAGAACATCACCGAACAATTTTGGAGTTTTGAATACATTGTATTTTCACAAGCAATATCGATAATGATTTCAGATTGCTGGACTATTATCACACACGTATATGTTTTCATGCTTTTTTTAATTGTGGTTATGATAAACTTAGTTCCTTATGTAACTAGAAATATAACATAACGCTTTCTTATAGAAAAAGTATTTGCCATGTCAGCGACATTGTTTAAATATCTTGTATTATTTCTTAATGTCTTATATGCTTTAAAAACAGAATTGTTTACCTTTCAATACCGCATTTAAAATATGAACATTTATAATACTCTCACAAGTACAGTCTGTCTATAGATGTGTGGACATGTGACGCTTCACTGCCTATATTTGACTGTGTCATTACTGTTTCCGAAGTTGTCAATTCCGGAAAATCAGTTGAAGAGCACAGTTTAACTGGACATATGTTGGTTCCTCAGCCGTTTTCTTTTGCCTTGCGTGTCTTTTTTCAGAGTATAATCTTTGTTCAAATTTGAAATTGGAGAATGATTATCATGTAATTCAACACAGGTGAACACAAAGATTACAATTTCAAAGAAAATGTGTCCCCAAGCTAAAGACGTTTACCCCAAACATAATACAATTGTTTGTTTGATTAACCATCTCATCTTCAGGTGTCATTGTTAAAAAAATACATTCCAACACAACAAAATGGAATGCGTACAGTTGCTCTTTAATTCTAGCGTTTGGATGCTTCGGGGGAGCAATGGCTTCAAACCAAGCATTTCCAAAGCCACAACTAAACAGAGATTGGCAATTTACCTAAGAGTCCCTAATCACTTAGATTTGTCCATGAGCCTAGAATATCATATTGGGTGGGTATATCTTTGGATACGGCATGTAATACCTCGATTGTGTTACAATCTCGGCTCGCAGTGAAATGAATCTATCTCTAGCAGCTCTCCAACGCCAGAGGGTGGAAAGAAACAAGCTAAGAAAATCCTCCAGTAATCTCCATTGCTCCCCTTTCTTTGACAAATTGAATCTCTGTGTAGAAGACGCTAATTTCTTGCTGATAATCGGGAAGGATTATCTGCCCGTGAAGAAACACTTGTACTTCGTCCATTAGCCCCGGTAGCGTCCATCTTCACCATAGAAACACCCCCATGTGTGGAGCACCTTTCCACTGTAATGTCGACCCGTGGACTTAACGATGGGAGCCATGTACCAAATACTACCGTCGCTAAACTTATTCGGCAATTCTTCAAACCCAGCTTGTTTGATCAGAGGATCTCGCCTATTTAGCTTTTTCATTAGTGTTTGTTTTAGTATGATAAATTTCCGCCCGGGGGTAGGATAGTGACCACTGGGGTCAGAGGGTTGGAGGAGGGAGAAGCAGCGGTACACCTTTGCCCCAACACGCGTTATAAAGCACGACGATATAGTTGATAGTGGGAAAATACCCGCTACAGTTCTTTACCCAACTGACATTTATCATAATCTAATTGACACTGGGATCCACTTTGAAGTCATTTACCGCAGAATACCAGTGCTATAGCGCTGGACAGAAATACACGGCTTTTAATCTTTTCTAACGTGAATTTCAATGGTCGACAAATCTCGATGTCAACCCCTTGCACGCAATAAAGCTTGGTGGAGACGCTTCAGAAAGTCGAAGAAAAGGACAAGGATTGGGCGTCTATTGAAGGAAGCCGGGTATACAACTTTCCTGCTGCAGATTTCCATATACCATTGGAAGGTGTCGAGAAGTAGAAATGCACACTGTTATAGAATAACCTTGTGGCAGACCTATTGTGAGACCGGTACAACAGCTCTTAATATGTCTTTACGATATGTCGCCAGTGAACTTCCATACACTCGCAAAGCCTAGC